TTTGAGAACAGTGCAGACACTTTGGTACTCAGCTGCTTTCTGATGTGCCATACCAGATCAGCACTCAAAGAACTCCATTCCTTTCTGTTCCTCCACAGAAAGGTGAAGCATTTATGACATCTTCAGAATTTAGCATGTGCTGCTCTGTAGGTAGCTTGCCTAGAGCTTCTGTTTTTCAGAGGCTACTGGAATTGATGTTGCAATACATTCCAAGCAGGCAGGACTAAAAGCAGAGGCTTAATCCGGAAGAGGATTTAGAAAGCAGGAGGTGTCTTGTTTAGAACAAGATATGTTCCTGTAACTTCGTCCCCTACTCAGCTTTTATGAGTGTGGTGGCCTCATTCCTGACTTTGCTCCTGCCTGATAACATAGCTGTTTTTACCCTTTCCAGTCATCTGGAAAGTCGTCTGTCTCTTCCCAGTTTTGGGGTGTAACCTTTCCCAGCCATGTGCTGCCAAAATAAATTAGACTAAAGCTCCTGCGACCCCCAACTTCATTTTCCTGTCTTCCCTTCAAAGATTGATGGTAGCTTTGGCATACTTCTGGAATGTTTTCTCACGTAGCACTTAAATATTTCCACAAGCGTTAGCAAGCGACAGGAATCTGGAATCCTATACTTCAGGTGTAGTTCCCAGAACTACCGTAATTGGTGAGAATATGACTGACCAAACCAAATTGTGTCATAATTCCATTTTGGCATCCTGGGTTCTGTTGACTTTGTTTATGTTTGCTAATATCTGATTGCAGGATTTCATAGTCACCTGAACTGCTCTGCAGAAAGCTTATTAGAGTGGATTCCGAGATTTTGTAATCTCTTTCCATTTTTACATCACCTAACTACATGCAAGGCTTCGACAAATAGTGACACATGAAACCATAAATCAAAACCTAACAAAAGAAGTATGTGGCATTTATAGTCAGGGGAAAAAATCTGCTCTAATAAAATCATATTTGCAGCCAATGTCATATATCTTCTTTTTCAAGCATGTTTGAGCCCCAATCCTGGTTTTGAAGCCCATGTTTACACTTCATCTTTTACTCAAAGCATTCAAAACTATTATATGCTTTGTCCTTCAGAATCATTTTAGATTGAGAAAAAAGTATTCAGTCTGATACGATTCTGTGAGGAAATTATTTTCTATATATTTGTACTTGTGCATCCCCTTCTTGTGATGGGAATCAAAGGACCTATAAAAGTTTGGTTCACAAGGTCTGCTTTAGATGCAGTGGCCCCCTTCAATGGGAGTGGGGAGTTAACCAGGTCTGCTGGGCTTTATAAGGAAGCAGTCCAACTTGTGGTATTCATTTCTTCGGATTGCTAAAGTAAACGCTGTATATAGCTACAAGTAACCTCTTATCGCCTTGCCTCTTTCCCTAATCTGGAGTTTTGCTAATTGGGGAATAATCATCTTTCCTATGCCCCAGTTAAGTAGCCTAATGGAAGAGAAAATTTTGATCAAAAGCCATGTTTGTATTTTTTCATTTCTGAAATTGAAAACAAAATCTAGAGTCTTCACACTGTATTAGGCCCAAACTAAATGGACAATTAATTATGTGAAGGCAGGAAATTATATCTTTGAGTAGTGACATTTTAAAATCCACCCATTGCTATGCATCTGTCAGCCTACAAGGAACTTTCCAGTAACACCTGCTTCCTTCTTGAGATGAGTTGAGCTGCTAGGAAGAGTAAGTTTCATAATGACTAGTCCAGGGCTGTCCAACTTTGGCAACTTTATGACTTGTAGACTTCAACTCCCAGAATTCCTAGCCAACATGGATAGTTGACGTCTGCATGACTAAAAGTTGCCAAAGTTGGACACCCCTGGACTAGAGCACTTTATTTTATTTTAAAAGTGATGTGTTTGCTGACCAATCTGTGGTTCTATTTAGTTTTCAAATTTTTAGTAACAAAATAATTCTACAATATGAAGATGGCTGATGGCTGTTTATGACTTTTGAAGCAAATAGCTGCATAGTGATCATTTGTAATCTGGACTTCAAGACTTCAACACACACAGAGACACAAAGAAATGATAAAGGGCAGCCTGGTATCTTACAGAAGCTGAAACAAAAGATTCCTTTCCACATTGTACTTTTATTTTGTAACCCTCCCTTCTTTTTCCTGATAGAGCCATTTAATAAATCCTATTTTGAGTCAAATGACCTGCTTAAAACTTTAGACTATTCTGGTTTCTATTCTCTGATCAAAATCTGACAAATTGTCCTTAAAAAGCAAAGAATTACATTAGTATTGTAGAATTCTTGGGCTAGATCACAGAATAAATCAGCTACTTGGGGAATCACATGAGCTCCAGCCCTTTGGTCATAGGCACTGCTATGGTTGCTGGGGAATTCTGGAAATTAAAGCCCACTCACCTTCAGATTGCCAAGATGATGAAACACTGCTGCATAGTTCAAAATGAACACTGTGCTACTTTGTTCTTGAAGACTTACATGCTTTCATTTGGAAGAGGTTCTGTATAATGTATGTATACATACTAAGGGCAGGATAAGTGCTTTTAAAAGTTTTTAAGATCCTCCTTGAGATAAACCTAGCAATTGTTAATCATCTTGTTTGATAATGGGTGGCCCGATTCAATTAATACCACATTTCAATACCTCCCAATAGCTCAGTGATTTATTTCCTGCATAGTACGCTTTTTCAACAAACCATGTATTTTAGTCAGACCTAAATTATTTAGTCATTGATTTAATGAATCTTCTTTTTAACTACTGCATTGTTTGGCAGAAGTCTGTCACTCCTAGCAAGATCAAACCTGTTATTTATCATTTTGCCTGTGAAGGAAATATGGACCAATTCAAAATACCGTGTTTCTCACAAGGCCAGGCCTTAATTTTTTTTGACCCCCGAAAAAACGGCTAGGCCGTCTTTTCGGGGGTGACTTAATTCTCCCCCTTGCATCCTTGGGCAGGCGGGCGGCAACGGCTTGGATGTTGACTTCAGCGTTGGTGGGGCACTTCGTATTGGGAGACCTTCTGCCACCGTTGCTTTCCCTTCTCCCCGTGCTGCCGCGGCATTTAGTGCAATGCTGCGGCATTTGGCACAGCCACGCACAGCCAGCCAGGGCTCCTTCCTGCAACCGGAGCCCGACGGAGACACTCGGCTTCAGGTGCTCCTGTCGCCACTTTCCTTCGAAGGCAAAGCCAATTCTTTTAAAAACAATGCCCTACTGCCGGTACGACAAAGCCTCCCCTGCCCGAGAGGACAGCCCAACCCCACGTGGGGAGGTGAATCTCCCCGGGCCACAGCACAGGATCGCCCCACCCTGGGAGAAGCACCCAGCCGCCATCCCTGCCTGGCACCGGGAGAACGTAAAGAGCTTCGCCTGGGGCACCCAGCGCAGCTGACAGGCAGGCCCTGCTGCCCGGCGGCAGAGCTCTCGCCAAGGCAGTGAGCACCTTCCCACCGGGCCCTCCACTCATCCCGCCAGGGCCATGCCAGAGCTGGGCGGGCTGGGCAGAGCCGGGAAAGCAAGCCGCGGGTACGTGCCCACCTGCCAAATGAAAGAGCCGGGCCGCCCCGAGCTTGGCTTCCTTCCCAAGTCCCTCCAGCCTGAACCCGAAGGGGCCACCGGGAGAGGCCGCCCGAGGCAGTGAGGGAGGCGCTTACTGCCTTGGCGAGAGTTCCACTGCGGGGCAGGAGGGCCCACCTGTCAGCTGCGCTGGGCGCCCCAGGTGAAGCTCTTCATGCTCTGCCCGGCACCAGGCAGGGACGGCGGCTAGGCACTGCTCCTGGGGTGGGCCCATCCTGCGCTGCGGCCCTGGGAGATTCGCCTCCCCACATGGGGTTGGGCTGCCCTCTCGGGCAGGGGAGGCTTTGTCGTACTGATAGTAGGGCATCGTTTTTAAAAGAATTGGCTTTGCCTTCGAAGGCGAAGGGAAGGCGGCGACAGGAGCGCCTGAAGCCGAGTGTCTCCGTCAGGCTCCGGTTGCAGGGAGGAGCCCTGGCTGGCTGCACCAAATGCCACGGCATTGCTCTAATCGCTGCGGCAGCACAGGGAGAAGGGAAAGCAACAGTGGTGGAAGGTCTCCCGATACGAAGTGCCCCACCAAAGCCGAAGTCAATGCAGGCAGCACCTTATCCAGATATGCAACAAAAGCACTTCCTAACGGCAACCCCCCCCCCGCCATTCCCCCTCATTTCGCATGTTTAATATAGGCCTTAATTTGGGGGGAGGGGCTTAATATGATTTTATGCCTATAAAACATGCTGGGACTTCCTATTGGGGGAGGCCGTATTGCTGGAGAAACACGGTATATCCTAGAACCTGAATAGGTAGAAGACAAAAAATATCCTAGAAAAAGGCAATGGGAGATTATTTCAGTGTTGTTGCCACAATGACAACTTGTCTCTGAAGTACCAAGATCCCAGCTCAGAGGAGACTTTAATGTATAGTTTACTGTACTGTAAGGACAATGAAAAATAAGCATGTAAGTGTGTGGCATTTTGGAAATGCTTATTTATACTTATGAATGGTTATTGGTGCAGTATTTTGATGGTACAGTATTTTAATTGACTAGATTTGGACTTTGAAAATACACATGGTTTATAGTGATCAAAATTAAGCTATTCTTTGATTCTAGTTTGACAGTTGGGGACCTTATAGACATGTGATTTTTGGATGGCTTGTCATCTTCTAGGGTAGGGCTGTTAAACTCCCGGCCCATGGGCCAGATGTGGCCCACGCCCATTTAGTGAGGGGGAAAAAGTCCCGATACGTCATGTGATGCCGCTGTGACGACATGAGTTTGACCCCCCTGTTCTAGGACATCATTTTAGCTTTTCAGTCTAGCCCATTATCCTGATAATCCTTGGTGATCTCCCCTACAACTACTGATTAGACTACTCTTCCTACGCTTCTAAGCCTATACGGTATTCTATAAGATTGTCGAGGTCTGCTAGCTGTTTGAATGGCTTATTATGACGCTATTTTGGAAAAGCATCACCATTACTGGCTGTTAAGTATCTGTCAAAATAGTACCTCTTTTATCGACATTCTTTAAAAAAATCACTATCTTTGTATTGCTCCAAATGTCTAATAATTCACTTTCCTCTTTATCCCTCCCCGCCCTTGTCTCTTAAAGTTGCAGGAGTCATTACTGCTGACTTTGTATCCGGTTTAGTGCACTGGGGAGCAGATACTTGGGGATCGGTAGATCTGCCAGTAGTTGGAAAGGTCTGATTTTTTTTTCATGTGTGTGTGTGATGAACTTACTAGTTGAGCTTATTAGTTCAATATACTTAAGAGAAATAATGGTTGATGAAAACCCTCTACTGGGATTCACATACTGAGCTAAACCATAATGTGCCTTAGACTAGATAAATCATGCTAAACTATAATTGACATAAATTGCAATTTGTGACATAGCATGTTATAGTAAAACCAGATAATTGCATCTTATTGAGTTAACCAAAGTTAAGCAAACCGTGGTCTTGGAGATTAATGATGATTTATAACATAATCTCACAGTAAACCTGTAAGTCAAGGATGGAAATGCAAGCACAAAGGGAAGAAAAGAAAGTGTATTCACTAAACTTTTCGTTGTGATGTCCCCAAAACTGGGCTTTTGCTTGTTGTCAAAACCGATAAGTCACCGGACACAAGGCGTGATACAATATACTTCTATTTTGGTACCAAGATATAAGGACCCTGGTTCAAAAGATAACCAAAGGCCTCCATTACAACCCTTCAGCAATTTTTATAGTCAAGGGGTGGTCGCATTCAGCCCTTTGCCCTTCCCCTAATAATGCATGCATAACAGATAATATTGATTGGTTATTTGGATCTCAGCCCCCTACATAACTAAATGTTGGGTCATCTGTTTTTCACCCCAGGTCACGGGTATCTTGCAAAGTGTCCTAGTTTCACGTGCCAGCTATGTGGTTTTTGGGGGTTTTCTTATAAGCAGGCTATTCTTGTTCCTAACATCCTGGCTAGTGGTTTAAGGTGCTAACTTCTGCCTCGCTAAGAACGTGCAGTTCCAACCCCTTTCCTATTGCAGAGCAGCTCAAAGCAGAACCCCCGCGATCCCCTCTCCCTCAGAGAAAAGTAAAAGCAGTTTTAACTTTGTCTGAGGCAGCACCCCCGCTCCCCTGTGACCCCCCTCCTTCTGTAGAGAGAGAGAAGACAGGAAGGGGCAAGGCTGCTTATGGCAAAGAAATGAAGACAAGATAAAATGTTTTATCAGAATTCATATTCCTCACTGTCATGTCCATTCCATCCATACCTGGGTCCTGGCCTTCTCTGTACATACATCCCATCATCTGATCCAGTTGTGATATGTGAACCATCCATCATCAATAAAAGAGGTTGTTTTTATTATTTTAAATAATATTTAAAGTAAGACAAACCTAAATTGTCATTTTTTGGCTGTTTTCCCATAGCATTCAGCCCTGGTTAGCCTGGCTAGTTTAATAAGTAATAGTTGAATCAACATAACAAAACTACATTGCTTGTCTTTGCACAACATGCTAAGTCACAAATGAACAAACCATATTTTGCCTCAGCGAGTTTTGTGAACTTAAACTATGCTTGTTTATATTGAAGCATCTTACTTAAGTGTTGTTTATTTAAGTGTTTAGCTTGTCCGCAGATCTCATCTGAGCTAAAAACTAGTTTCAACTTCCTGCTTTTTACTACTTTCAGGCATTTATTAGGCCTTTCAGAGAACATCACATTGATCCAACAGCAATTACCAGGCATGACTTCATAGAAACCAATGGCGATAACTGCATGTTGACGGTGGTTCCGTTGGCAAACATGGCCTACAAATTAGCTTCTTTATCACCAGGTAAGTCCCAGGCCCGGCAGATCCATGAGGAAACTAGACACAGCCTTCTGAAGAGTAGTGAGCAGGCCTTTGAAGACAATAGAGTTAATTCAATGTGCATTTCCAAAAAAGGTTCATGAAGTTTTTCACCGTAAATATGGAGTAAATAAAAGTGTTAAGGGCAAACAACAAATAAAGTAGACAGTTCTGTCTGTCATACAAATTGGAGTACAGTGTTACTTCTGATGCAAAAGTTAGTTATTAGCGTGAACTTATTAAGCAGTTGTATTGTAACACACGGTTTAGCTGTTGTTCAGTGAGAGTGCAATAAATTCTATATTCTCTTTATTTTTAGAAACGTTACATCAAACATGTCCTTGGGAGTGCTACGTCTTTGCCCTGTCTGTATTTGCAACCTTGACCAACCAGATTCACAAGTGGTCTCATACCTACTTTGGTCTTCCTCGCTGGGTAATTTTTCTGCAGGACTGGCACATTATCCTGCCACGGAAACACCACCGGATCCACCATGTGTCTCCACATGAGACATATTTCTGTATTACTACAGGTAAAATGAAGGGAAACTCATTATGTGTCAGAAATTAATTTTTTATCTAGCAAAACAGCTTTCTTAAGACACAGTTAATACTGGGGGGGGGGGGGGGGGACAGCTGAGCATTCCTGTTGTGTACTTTGTGTTTTCCTGTTCTGTTCCATGTCCTTCTCTGGGTTCTTGTTACACAGAGATTAAAGACAGGAGAAAATAAATAATGGAAAATAAGAATTGACTGAAGAGAAGGCTATACCTATTAAATTGAACTGCAGTTTTCAGATTGGTTCACATTCATTGTAAGTCATGGTTTATTAAATGTGTCAGTCTGGTAATGCACAGACTGCTAAGCTATAAACCATATCTTATGGATGGCTTTTCACATGTTAACCCAAAACAAAACTTAGTGTGGTTTGATATGTTTGACTGAACTCATTCAGAGACTGAGTTTAACAGACCTTAGATAAACCAGGGGTTATTTTAATGTGTGAAGTTTGCACTAAAAGTCTGCCATTCTAAATGGCTTTAGAATGCTCTTGTATGGGTTTCAGTAGTTAGAGGAATAAGTTCAAAACAATTCCGCTTAGTGCGAATAAAAGTAAAAATTGCATCTTTCTTCTCTTAAATTAACATCTTTATTTCTTACATTTATTTTATGCAATAGTATCTTAAAACAATTGTTACCAAATATGCTGCTTGCCAATTTACACTCACATATTGTTCCTCTTCTTTAACATCTCTAGGCTGGCTGAACTACCCACTGGAAAAAATCAAATTTTGGAGATTCCTGGAGAATATGATTGAAGGACTAACAGGAGAAAAACCCAGAGCAGATGACATGAAATGGGCCCAGAAAATAAAATAACCCTTGCCAGGCTTCTGCTGTTGTGAAAACCTGTTGCCAATTTTTTTAAAAAAAGAAAAAAAGCCATCAGCCAAATTAAAAGACTTGCAGAAAGATAATGGACTAAAGCACAAAGCTTTTTAAAAAGTGCTAACAGACTGCAGTTAAAAGACTCACTCCTCAAAACAATACTTGAAAATTCAAATGGATTATTCTCCTTTGTTACTGAGCACCTTCTGTTAGCCACATTTGCTGATAATAGAACATTGTCATCCTTGAACCTCCAAAGCCATTAGTTGGAGAAGGCAGTGTACCTTCCTAGTAACATTTGTCATTGGCACGGTAATGTGTTGTATCAACATGAATTTCCACTCTGAAAATGATTTAAGGCCATATGGAATGGCAGAGATAGCAAGCTAGCTCCCGGGTTTTTAAAGAACACGTTCAGAGTTGCTATATGAGACTCGGAGGGAAAGGCATTGTCATCACTTTAATGCACTTAAGTGTTTGGTGCTTCCTTCCAGTTGCTTCATCTTGCTATCATATCAAGACATTGTCCATGTGGCATTCAACAGAATATTTGGGAGTCTCATCCTAGTTCATTAGGGTTACTTAAAGCTGACTGTCTCCTAAAATAAAGAAGTGTTCCATTCCTTGCTGTATCAGCCTACAAGCTAACTTGGTAGCAATTTGGGATGGGAGTGAAGCTGGACAGAATTTGTGTTCTGCACAAATGTCAGATTTAAATTACTTCCATTGGATCATGTAGTGTTCAGTGATTGGTTTTATTCAGTATGATTCCTCTTCCAAAATATTTAAAATAGCTACAGAAAATTGGTCATTGTCAAATTTAAAATATTAGAAAGAATAAGTTAATGGTGTGTGTGATTAAGGTGCTTGCTCATTTCATGTAAATATCATAAAGCCTTAACTACTACTTCATTGTAACATGTAATAATAATTTTAATGTGGTCTGAATGTATATAATTTATAACAAAGCAATTCAATTACACTAATTGCATTTGTTAAGTCTTGTGGCCATTTTTGAGGGGAAGGGTAAAATTGCATCTCCAGGGGTTTTTTAAACAACCAAAATCAATGGGTTTTCTGTTTTTTATACAGGAGTGTCCTACAAAACACTTTTTCTTTTTGCGATAGACTTCTGTGCCTTTCTAAGGAGATTAGATGGCTAATCTGTGTCTAAAATGCAACTTTCTGTATTTTTTTAATTTAAGAAAAAGTTTGCACATTTTCCCTCTTCCTTGTATGTTTGAGATTTTTCTATTTAAGAACAAACTCTTAACTTCATACCATGACTGATATGTCTTACCTTCATAGCATTTTGCCTTTGGCACTCCAAAATCTCAACAAAGAACACTAAAGTTAAAAAATGGAAACTAAGAGACATAATTAAAAAATAGATGAAGGCAAACGAGAGATACAAGTACCACTTCTAAAGAACACTCCATTGAAAAAGCAAGTATCACAGAGAGTCTCTCAGCTTTTACTGTGATAGCAGGATTTCTGATTAAGATTTTAATCTTTTGGGCAAGTTAGCATATTTCTTACTTGGGAGGTCCATTTTTGTGTGCAAAGGGGGCGTGTTTTTTCCTTCTGGTCAGTGTCAATGTTGATTCCTTTTGACTGCCTGGAGTAGTACTTGCAGTTTTCTTGGAAAGGATTTTTGGAAGTGGTTTCCCTTCCTTCCTTCCTTCCTTCCTTCCTTCCTTCCTTCCTTCCTAGAGTTAAGAGAGAAAGTGACTGACTTAAGGTCATCCAGCTGGCTTTGTGTTTTAAGGTGAGAGTCGAATTCAGTCTATCAGTTTCTAGCCTGATGCCATAATAACAACAATCATCAGTGAAGCATTTCAATTTCTATTCTGCTGAAACACAGCTTTTAAACTGGCTTTGAATGATCTCTCTCATACTCTCTGTGTGTGTACACGCAAGCTGGCAGGGGAGGAATTGAAGTCCATCTTAAAAGGTGTGGGGGGGGGGGAGTTTTGGTAGGGTGTAATAGAATTTGGAAAATCTGTCCAAATTCCCTTCTTCTGCCCCTTAGTACCATCCAAATCACAGCATGGTAATTTTGAGCCTTTTCTTTCTGCTTCCTCCGTTCTCACAACTGAGATGTCATTTTCTGTCTTATTAGCTAACAGCAATTCATGTTTGCAAATACTAGAACTTTTGCTGCTATTTTGTTCTATGGCCCAGAAATTCAGAGCAGTATAAATGAATGTTAGATTACAGGAAAGAACTGGGTACATAGTAGACATTCTCCATTTAGCCATCCTGGAAGGCAAATTCCTGGAAGCCTATCTGGATCAGGCCCAGTGAGACCCCAAATTTTTCTAGACTGAGCCTTTTCTCTTTCCAATCTAAGACGATGACTTCTCCAACCAGTATTTAAAAATATTTCTGGTTGTACTGAAATGTTTTATTTCAGCTACCTGGCACCTGAGAGAAACCCTAAAGTCACCTCTTCTATAGCAAAATTTTGCCCCACAAGGAACACAGTTCTGATGTGACCATCTGCAGCGTCAAATTTGCTTACGTGGGGAAAGCACTGAATGCTTTATTAAGTATCTGGTTTTATTTTGGTGCATTACAGCAGGTAATAAATTTTTGAACTGAATAGCTGACACAAAAAGTCACATTAGTTATTCTAGCTGATAAGCCACTTGGACCAAAGGCACTGAAGGCAGCCAATCAACTATGTTGATTGAAAGTGCTGACTGTACAAGGAAAGAAGCACTAAAGCCTAGTGTCCTTCTCATGACTCTTGCCATACTGTGATTGATATCAATGCTTGCAGAAACCAACTGTGTACTATTGACTTTATAAGAGGGCCCATTTTGAGTGTGAGATTAAGGAAAAGTCCACAAACTGCCCACTCATTGCTTTAACGTACATTCCTTTCTCAACCCGAAGGCAAATCTCATCATTTATTCTGCCACCCCATTTTTTCCCCAAAACTATACTTTCTTATGTTATACTTAGAGAAGCAAATAGTTCCCTTATTTACCAAATAAACTTCATACTAGACAGAAATCTGAACTGGCATGCCTCCAGATCTAGTTGAACAAAAACCAATAAAACATTCACACTTTTTAATTGATAACTTTTTTTTAATTTTTCTATTCTGACTCTTAATTATGATCCTAAGTTTTACCTGCCACAATAAATGTATTAAATGTTTGAAAGGTCTGGTGGATGTTTTTTGTTTCATTTGTTTTAGAAATAATTACTTTGCTTAAATAATTTGTCAAACTAATTCTGCCAAAGATTATCTACAAAATCATCCCAAAGGTGCTTTTCAAAAGGCACCTGGACTTACTTGTTTTTTTCTTCCTTGGAAACATTTCACTTATCCAAGAAGCTTCTTCAGTTCAGCTTTTAGGATGAGTAAATGTTTTCAAGTGGGCGGAAACAAAGTCCAGTTGCTTCTTGAAAAAGAAGCACCTTTGGGACAAGAATGACCTGGATGTTTATGGAGATTCCCAGTTGTCCAGGTCATGGTGGTCCCAAAGGTGCTTTTTTTCAAGAGGCAACTGGACTTTGGTCTGGAAAGTTTTTCAAGAGGCAACTGGGCTTTATTGTTTTTTGCCTTGGGAAAAAGCACCTTTGGGACATGACCTGGATAATTGAGAATCTTCACAGACATTTTTCTACAAAAGTTAGATGTTTTCTGTTCATGCTTGGGCATCAGCTTCAAGATTATGGTGGGTTTTTTTCCGTATGATGCTGCTTATATTCCAAAGGTTTGTAATATTTCAGAATCACTAGTATACAATTTTGTAGAAATATTGGGAAATGACAGACCAAGAATTTAAGTGAGACTGTAATGAAATCTCTTTTCTATCTTGGAGCCAGGAATGAAAAACAGAAATCTTAAGGAATTCCATACTGATGAATGAACAGTCTAATACAGTTCTCCCTGTCTCCACTGAAAGTCTCTGAAATAGATATGTATTTTTAAGGTTTGCCGCATAGTGAGATATTCAGGGTAGATTTGGCAGTTTTGTCCACCTATTGAGTCCTTCTCAAGGATCTGGGATAGGCAGAGGCTTAATGATCATAAAAGGTATAGTTGCAGGATGTAAGCTGTTCTGAAGAAAGCTTGCCTTTTCTCAGTTGACAGTAAGTTTGTCAGCGCTGATGGTGTTTAAGTGGTGCTCCAGTTATTTTGGGGTTGCACCCAAGGCAATTACTAACATTTGAGAGTTGGTGTAGAAAAAAGCTTCCTTTAAATTGTATTGCATCTACATTATGTGGATCTGCAGCAGCATCCCCAGAACAATTTTAACATTGTGGTGACTACAACCACACAATTGAAATCCCACCCTTTTGTATGTGAGAAGCCGGAAATGGCTTCATAAGTTCAGAATACAATTTAATGTTAGGGTGTTATGCAAATTAGCAATTTGTCTATCATGGGTCACACAAGGAATTTGTCTTGGTGTAAATACTCTCAGTATACATAAAATAAAAGATACATTTGTCAGGAGTCGAGAATCATAAGGTACGACACTTAATGATAGTCATAGGGTACAATAAGCAATCAATCATACTAGCAAACAGTCAATATAAATCGTAAGTATAAGCTACAGTCATACATAATTAACCATGGTTAAAATAATGCATAGCTTAATGTGAAGTGTAAATCTAGTAATTCTAGATTAATAATTCTAAATTTAAAAGGGAATTCTGCACTTTTAAATTCACCATTTTAGTTTCTCAATTTTGCCACAGCATCATTTTTAGGAAGTTGAAGACACCTGCTGGTCAAAGACAGATATTGCAACCATAAAAACATTAAAAAAAACATGGGAATATAAAGACATTCTTTTAAAGGGCTGGAATGTGGTGCTATTTGTTCCTGATGATACTACATAATAAGTAATTCTAGAAAGACTCCTTAACTTTAAAAGAAGCTGTCTGATCAACTACTGAAAAAATACAGGCCTTAAAGTAGTAACTCAAAAAAAAAAATAGAAATTAAATTCATAAGTGTATAATTATGAATACCTGAGTTTGCATCAGTTGAACTGTAGGTGATCACAGGCTGAACCCAAGTCACCAACATGATGCAGCCAGGAGAAAAAAAAGCTCATGAGGCTTCCACAGGGGAAGTCAAAAGAGTCAAGATGGCGACCGGGACCACATGATTGAAGCCCTACCATTTACATGTGCACAGCATATACAAAAAAAGATTGCTGTTCAATCACACAGGTGTAGCTTATCTTTTTAACCTTTTTTCATTCCTGTGCACATACGCTTGAAGGCAAATGTAATTTTAAAATGCACCCACATGAGTAAACTTTACAAAGCACAAGAAGGAACAGTTCCTCGATACTTAAATATTGGTCAGACCTCACTTTGAGTATTGTATGCATTCTGGGCACCAAACTCTAAAGAGTAAGAGCAGTTGAAGTAGTTTAAAAGAAGGACAAGAGAATGAAATTAAATCTAATGAAGAAGGATTGAAGAAGCTGGACATAATTTTGTTTTTGTTTTTTTAAATGGAGTGGGAATCTGATAGTGTTCTTCAAATATCTGAAATGAAGTCACATACAATGAAGATCTATTTTCTATCATTCCTGAATTTATCTATTTACTAAAGAAATTTATATGTCTGCCCAGTTCACACACATTGACTCCAGGCAGCTTACAACGTTAAAATCAACGGTATAAAACTCGTAATATCCTCAACCTCTCATTGCAGCCACTTGATCAGTTCCATATAAATCTGGGATTCCCAGATCTGCCTATGTTTTCAGGGTCTTCTGGAAAAGTATCAAGGGGGGAACCAATCTTATTTCTTCTAGAAAGCAGTACACAAAGTATTTAGATTTAGATTCCAGCTAAGTGTAAGTTAAAAGCTTTCTTAACAGGAGGAGCAGCTAGCATTGAAATCAATCATTTATAGAAGTGGAATTGTTCTTTTCTTCACTAGATGTGGTCAATAATCTGTCAGAGACATTTTAATTTGAATTCCTGAGGAAAACAGGTGGTCAAAATTCTAGCTCTCCCACTGAGGCTTTAACACAAGTGTAACTATAGCACCTAAACTGGTACAGTTTTAGTATGTACAGTATGAGTTGTTCCATGTCAGTACTTTTCTGACAATGTTCAGAATTAATTCTCCATAGAGGTTTCTCCATAGAAGGATGGTGGACACGTTCCTTTCCAGTGATATGGAAGAGCCAAATAGCCCAAAGATAAGATCAGAAATATTTCAACCTCCCAGTTTTGCACTGAGACCACAGCAGGACCTCAGCAAACACCCACTGAAGTTCCATGATTTCTGCCAGAACAGGGATATGAAACCCGCCCAGCAGGGTGCTTAGATTGGGCCGCCGGGCCACCTTTGGAACAGTGACAGACCAGCCCAAGGTGCCTCTACCAGTGAAAACAGAGCTTGTGAGGGCTGCGTGTGGCCCTCCTGGGCTGTTTTCAGGTGCAACAGCCTCCTGCAACCCTCTGCCAAAAAAATGGACCTCAAGAGGGCCGTGTGCGGCCCTCCCAAGCTCTGTTTTCACTAGCAGAGCACTCGGGCCACCACAGGCACCCAACATGAGTGACATCGAGCTGGTCATGCCCACCCCCCCCCCGACCACGCCCCCCCCCCAAGGTCAAACACAACCCTGATTTGGCCCTCAATGAAATTGAGTTTGACATCCCTGTGCTAGAAGATACAAAGCCCAGTCTAATTTGTATTCATTGTTGGGAACCACACTCACTGGGAAAGTGGCCAGTTTCCATAGGAATCTAGCAGCATATTTCATTGTGTATACAGCATTTTTTTCTCAGCCATGGTATCTTGAAGATATGTGGATTTCAACAACTGAAGTCCACGTATCTTAAGGTTGCCAAGACTGAGAAACACAGGTATACACTATTAACTGTTTTTATTGAGGATTTCTTGGAGTTCTCTTCCCTTAGCTGTATTGGCCCAATCTTGTAAATACATATTTCCAGAGCCTTTTAAGATTCTGAGTAGTGCCATGTTTATTTGAACTCCCCTGCGCTATCCTTTTGATTTAAAGAGACTCTCTAATTGAGGTCAACTCCTGGTAATAACATGGACACAGCCATGTAATTTTGGTAGCAACAATGTGAAAGTGGTTTGCCTCCCTTCAGGATGTTTTCCTAACCTAGTCTGGGAAAATCTACCCACATAGATTTTCTAGCTAACTAGTTTTCAAACTAAACTAAACAGTTCTGATTTACTTAAGAGCTTTTTTTCTTTTCTATTTGGAAATTATCCAAGATCAACTAGGCACAACACCCCTCAGACAAACATCCCATCTATAACATAGCAATTTTGAGAAAGGGGATGGCTTCATTTAAGTCAGGAGTCCCCAAACTTGGCAATTTTAAGACTTGTGGACTTCAACTCCCAGAATTCTCCAGACAGCTGGTTGGAGTCTTAAAGTCTCCAAGTATTAAAGTTGCCAAATTTAGAGATCTCTGATTTAAGTCAACGCATCCATCGTGGAAGTATTAACAGAAATCTCATTAATTTTAATCCAGGTGATTAGGGTTTGAATGGAGAGTTGGAACAGCGTTTAAAGACCTCCAGCCAGAAACCCAGAGATGACAAATTCTAATCCTACCTTAGGCCCAAAGCCGGCTGGATGACCTTGGGCCAGTCCCTCTCTCTCAGCCCTAGGAAGAAAAAGAAAGCAAAGGCAAACCACTTTTAAAAGTTCCAAGAAAACTGAAGAATTGTCCATGTGGTCACCAGCAGTCAAGACTGACTCCAAGGCACAAAATTATTTTGAAAGAATATGTCCCGCTGCCTTCTCTCTTCGATGCAATTAGTTATATCCACCCAAGCCAAGCCCTCATTTTGTATAGATCTAGAGTCAAAACGTTTAAATCTGTACAGGTAGTCCTCAACATATGACCACAATTGAACCCAAAATTAATGTTAAGTGAGAAATTTGTTAAATGAGTTTTTCCCTACTTTACAACTTTCGATACATTTGTTAAGTGGATCACTCCAGTTATTAAATTAATAACACAATTATTGTGACTGGTTTCTCTGACTTTGCTAGTTAGAAGGTTGCAAAAAGTGATGACATGACCCTGGGACACTGCAACCGTCATAAATATGAATCAGTTGCCAGGCATCTGGATTCTGATCACGTGACCAGGGAGATGCTGCAACTGCCACAAGTTTGAAAAATGCTCATAAA